TATATATATATATATATACTCACTATGCCCAAGTGTACATGAAATAATTTTGGCCGCTGTAATTTCTCCTCCTCAATTCAGCTAATAAGAGCCTTTAGCAGTCTGAATGAGTCAAATCAAGTTAGTATCTTTATCAATTTAGGGGGAATTCAGGGATAGTCAAGACTAGTTTATTTGTAGAAGACAATCTCATACAAAAAGCAAGTAAAAGTGCTTTACTGAGTAACATAAGGAGGTAGTTTTGCACTAAAAAACACCGTAACTTTGTAAGATGTCCACTTGATTTGTCTGGCTCTTATTAGCTCTGATTAATTTAGGGATGTATTTTTATACAGAATGAGGAATTTTGTCCCCCCTCTCTCACTGTACATCGGGAAAAAACATATTTTAAGACAGACTTAAAGGGAATTTATCCTTTAAAATTTTGGGCATCAGTTTGTCTCAGGGACTTGGTTGATGGTTTCTTTATGAAGTTTAAAAATGGCTTCTTTCTGTGTTTGTTTGTAAGACTTTAACTATGGATAAGCTTTAGTTGTATTATCCTCTAAATAATGCTAGTTTCATCTTTTTGCTTTTCTCCATCTGTACCAAAGTTATGGCAGTCTACTTCAACTGAAGACCAAAGTGTTTAAATATTGTTCCTGTGTATTGCAATCAAATACTGCAACAGCCAAAGATGTCACATGTTTGTCTATATTGGGTCTAATTTAATTTAAGTAATATAAAATGGCATCAGTTATTTTTCTGAAGGGCTTCATTTAGTAACTTCATATTGTAGATGTCACCGAGGTTTACTGCCATTACTGTCATCATCATCTTATGATATTTTGAAACATACGAGACACTGAAAAGTCCAAATATTTAAAAGATGTTTCGTAAAAACCCATCACATTACAGTTTTACTATGGAGAAATGTTTGGTTTTCATTATATCTGTAAATGTTCTTTGCACTGTATTTTTGTGCACTGGACTTCTGTGTGTTTTAGTTTTGCATATTCAACTTTTGTTTTGCCATTTACAAAATATAATTTGAATGAATTTCCACTTATTGTCCACAAGGGGTCATCTTATGCCACAAACTGTGGATTAAAGATTTGAATGAGAAAATGCAGAGCAGGGAAGACCAGTCTAAACTATTGGTGATTAATAATCTACTGAATCTCTGTTACAAGACACAGGTTGAGTGGTTCACGCTGAATATATTTAACAGATGCAATATGACAGACTCTGCAGAGATTCAGTGAGCCGGCCGGTGGAGGTCTTCAAAGTTCAAGTGCTGCTGTGGAATTAGCTCTTTTTCATTTTTTAATGAAGTTTGTGGATTAATGTCAGCATGATAAACCAAATTGTCAGTATTCTGATGTTTTGGGTTGAGTTTTTATATTTTTGCTGAATGCTTCACTAACAGAAAAGACATTTTTGTGATTCCTTTTAAATAAAAGCAGTTTGATTTGTACATTTCCCTTGGCCTGCTTTTTCTTATTCTACAAAGGACACTTAGTTTATTATCTTTCTTTTGAGAGAAAATGTGATTCTGTTGCCACTGTTTTTCATGTACGTTTAGTGTAAAGACAGATAAAATACCATCTGCTGTGTGGCTATGAGGCTTTCATGTGTCCATTTATTTAGTCTTATTCACATCTGTTCCATCTTTTGAACACACACTCTCTCATTATCATGTCTGGCCCCTGTCAGGCAGCTCACCACGCAGCCACCAAACGAGAGGAACAAGAATGGACCACTTAAAAGCCTGGAGACCTTTATGTCTCAAAAAAAAAATACATTCGGCGCAAAAAGGCTCATTTCCACAGCTGGTTGTCTTACAGTAACTATGCCAGAACATTTTCTTACCCGACCACTATGGAGCATTTCATCTAAAAGCAGAGTCGAGGCCCGGTCCATCTCTGTCGTCTCTGCTCCCTAAATGAAAAGAGACTCTCAACTGGGGTCATGTCTGGTCTGCTCCCCTGAGACCAGGCTGGCCCAGTCTGCAGGGCATGTCTGGGTCCTGCACACTTACACACACACACACACAGATCCTGGTTTCTATAGCAACCACAGCCAGCCATAGCTGCCTGACTTGGCCCGCTGCAGTCCACAGATCAGACTGAGGGGGCCTGAGGGCCTCCAGCACAGATGCACATAATTAATGTGATTATATAGATACGTCAACCTTGTCACCTTTCAGTTCATTAGGCCGGACGCTCTCACAGACCTGTCACAGGCCTCAGAGAGGAGGACCGCAGCTCCACTGGTCATGCTGGGTGAGGATGCAGCGTACAGAAGCTCAAATTGTACTCCTCAATCATGTTATCTAACAATAAATAGAAACATTTTCCCTGGAAAGTTTCCCCATCCCAATGCTAAATCACCCCTGCGTATGGGACGTCAGGATTGTTAACCCGTAACCTCCCAAATTTCTTCACTTTTGCCGAGGCTTTGTGATTGTTGACATCCTCCACTGAAGCATGTCCCAGTGCACGACAGCGAGGTGGCTGTCCCTCGCCATATTGGGGAACCTTTGTGGCTTTTGATTGGATGTGGAAGTCAAATGATATCACCAATAAATCACGTCAACTTTCAGACAAAGAGCCTCTTCAGTCTTGCTGTGGTGAAAGGTCACATTCCTTAACTTGTTAAATGAGTGCATGTAAAACTGTTTTGATATCATAAAGATTGTGAATCTAGTTTCAGTGTTGTCTGCTGACAAATGGAGAGGATTTGGAAGATTTGACGAGAATATGAGAACAGTTCCTGTGGCCGAGTTGAGCATCCACAAACAATATTTCTTCCCAGACTCTTGAGGGGCATCAGGTTCATGGCAATTATCAGTGATTAAAGAATGATCTTCTCAGGAGGTTGGGGGTCAGAGATCAGGACCCAGCACAGCGGCGAGACACTCCATTGTCATGCATGATGTCTTTTGTCAATTGGAGCACTGATTTTTAAAAGGAAATGTTTTATCACCAGTATCTCCCACGCTCCTTGAGGGAAAGCAGAATTAAGAGGGAACATCAAACTGACATTGAGACTGAGAATAATAAAATGTTTTATTGAGCCACACAAACAAAAAAAAACATTCAGGTTACAGCCAAAATAAATTGCACACCATGCATTCAGAAAATCTCAGAAAGCAACATTTTCATATGAACTTCACAGTATAATGATTTCAGAGCATTCAATTACACTATTTAAAAAAATGCACACTAAAAATCAAACATTTGCCACAAACAGAATACAAAAATGTACAGAACTGCAGCATCTGTATCATTTCTAAGTAACAAGTTATTAAAGGCAATGTATCATAAATAAATAAATAAATAAAATCTACTAACGCCAAACTGATTGTAAGTAGGCTTTGATTAATCTTACACGTACATGACTGATTGGCTACAAAAACAGCAAAACTACTAAAAGCTGACGTAACTAATTAAGAAATTAACTGCAACTGAAAATGTTGCCCGTGAGTAGTGTTTGAAAATAAAAAGGAAAAACAGAAATGTGTTTGGAGTGTTAATTTGATCTAACCAACTGATTATATTCATTCTAAATACATGGTCAGGGAGAAAAGTGGATTTTAAAATGGACTCAAAATCCCTGAGCTCCCAGGCACTTAGGAATTCTGAAGGAAAAAGCTCTTCAGTTCTTGGCTAACACACAGCCACAGCCACAACCAGTTTTCATTCACCTTCAACTGTGTTTAAAACAATAGGATGGATCTGAGCTCTTCTACTTATTAGCAATCAAAACATTACAGCAGAAAAAGATAACAAAAGAAGATTTAGCACTCTTGAATCGGTTTCTTAAGGGGGACAGAGTCCCTCACAAAAATAAAACGTCTTATCTACACAGGGATTAAGCACTAATACTTCCCCTGGTATCAATTAAACATCTTATATGCAGCATTTAACAATGTTCTATTAAGAACAATCCAGGTAACACTGGCATAGGTACATCTGAAAAGTTGCAGAAAAAAGTCCAGCTGAAGTAGCTGGAAGATGATCAGGGGCCTGTATTAGCAGGTCAGCGGGATGTCTTTGGGCTTAACTCTTGTTTTCCAGAATCACAAAGCTGGCTCGCTTATAACTGAACTGATCAGAATGGTTATTATGAGAGATTTAAAAAAAAAATGTGGATAGCCTATTTCACAAGCACGGACCAGTTAAGCATTTGGTACCATGTTTGTTTCAATATGCTACATCAGTGTTTCTCAAACTTTTTATACAGTGTACAACCTCATATTAGGCTCTTCAAACACCAGCATTATGACCGACATTAAAATACAGTAGTGTTGGCCGACTGGATTCAGCTATGGACAGTTCACACAGGAGGCAGGTTTATTTCTAATAAAAAGATTATTTATTGTTGACTGCTCTTGAACCTTGAATGAAACCAGGCCAAGAACCAGAGCTAATTAGGGGAAAGGGGTTACTGCTGGTTCACACTTTTCTTTCCAACACATCCTGTTTGGAGCCACAATTTTCACGAGTTTCAGTTAAAAAAAAATAATATTTCAAAGATTCCTCCGCGTACCACTAGAAGCAGCTTGTGTACCAACAGTGGTACACTTGCCATAGTTTGAGAACCAGTATGCTATGTCATTAATAACAAGCCTTCTCCACATGGGGTTCGCCTGCTGTTGTAAAAAAGGAATCGCAGTGAAAAATCCAAAATGTTGGCAACTTTATAAAAAACTGCTGAGAAAGTCAACAGAAGGGGGAGAGGAACAGAAAGAGGCCGGACAGGGGACGATGGTGTGTGCAAAGAAGTGCAAAGAGAGAGAGACAGAGGTGTGTGTGTGTGTGTGTGTGTTTGGGGGAAAGAGAACTGAAGGGAAAAGCAAGGTTAGCAGATTAAAGTAGGTTGTGAGTTAACACTAGCAAAACGCTTGCTTTGCATCCCTGTCTCATCAACCCCTTCAGATCCCATATTTTTCTCAAATGAACTTCAGACTGGAGTTACCCAACCAAATATTTGTGGGTCATTGTTACTGAAGCATCAGAGCCCAAAAAATGGTAATCAGGACAGCCCTATTAGTAGGAATTTATTTCTTTAGCTGCTTTAGAACTGCTTTAGCATCAGGAGGGGTTTTTTCACCTCACTGAATATCACCTTTCGCTACCAATAACCTAATTTCCCTGTGGGTATCACTGTGTTATATTAAGTACCTTTGATGTTGCATTTAATTAAAAACTTTGCCTCTTTCACGTGAACGCACCCGTAGTTGGATCAGTAAACCCCGAACTAATTGAGCCAGTTGATAACCAGCTTTGTGATACCAGTAATTAAGGATTAGACCCAGTGAAGCCAGGTAACCCAAAGAGAGCCGGCATAAGTTGAACTTGCTTTGTGATACAGGCCCCAGTTCTCTCTGTACATTTGTGTTATTGATACCAGTAGCCTGCTGGTCACAAAAAAGTCCTAATGGCAACAAGGTAGCCGATATTGCAACAGACAGCGCCCATCACTCGTCTACTTTACAAACCTTTATCAAAACTTCTGTTGCTGCCAAAAGCAAGGTGCATTCTGTCTGTAGATATGTGTTTTAATGAAATGTCCTCTTTGCTGTTTGCAGCTCTCCTTTGTAACAGCATGAGGGCTGGGGTTGCATCGCAATTACAACAGTATTTCTTCCTCAGTTAGTTCTGCATAAGGTACTGGTGGAAGTAGATGCCAAAAAGAGAGCTGATGACCTGGCAGGCAGCCACCCACCACGTGAGGAAAGCAAATAAACCTCGGAAGAAAAGTGGAGTGAGGACAGACCGCAGTGCTGTGAAGGCCTCTGAGAGGCGTGCTACTGTGGCCTGGATGTCCTCCTCCATATCCTCCATCCCCTCTTCATCCTCATCGAGACCAGTGGGTAGCACAGGTGCTGCTGTGGGCATCACCAGTGCTGGTGTCACTCCGGGGGTCTCCTCTGCACCGGTCCTCCAGGAGAAGTCGCCTACAGAGATCAGTAGGGATCAGTCAATATTTAGATTTCACTGAACATGGAAGAAAGAGTAAGAAAGTAGACCTTTGAAAGAAACTAAAGCTTGTAATGTTTTAATGACACTAAAACCTGACTACAGATGTTTCTAATATTTAACTGCACTGCACCAGAATAGTCTACATCCACATTTTCAATGTTTGGGGAAAAAGTGTGTATTCTTCTGAATGCAGTGGTTGAATGATGGTGGGATTTTACTTACCTAATGCTTTGAGTGCCAGTGTGGAGAACAGGATGAGAAAAACAGGAACCAGGTACTGGAGAGTAATTACAGTCAGGTAGCAAAAGATACGAGTGACCTGAAAAACAGCACATTTATTCTCAGTTTAAAACATGCAGTTAGGGTGTCTTCACTTTTTTTATTGCACAGTAAAGCTTTTTATTAAAGTCTTTAAACTCTTTCAAAGTTTTAAATTCATAGGATCTGAGCTACTATTCAAACCTTCATTGTTCAAATATCTGACCTTCCTTTGAATGTCAATCGCAGCGATGCGTCCCGCCTCCTTCTTCATCTGCTCCACCCACTTCTGAGACAGATTGAGGTAGGCCTGCATGTGGTAACGAGTTAGTGCTAGCCGCAGCACACACAGCGCCACGATGATCCACAGGCGCATGCTGTCAAATGCTGCACTGGAAACTCTGTAAGTGTGAAATTGTAAGAGGATAAGAAAAAGTCAGGGCTGGCCAAGTGCCCACTGTGTCCCATTTGGAGGACATCTTGCATCAGTGGCCACTGTTTCTGTCTTGAAAAGAAACTAAAAGACTGGTTGTAGTAGATACGGTAAGCGAACACATATGTGCACTCACATTGTGACAGAAGTCTTCCCCATAGGTGCATTGGCCAGGAAGTCCCTTGCAATGGGTTTCACCCACAGAATCAACACGATGACTGGAGACAAGAAACCCATGTGCAGCAGAATCCTGCAAGAAACATTAAAGACGTCTAAGAGAGCTAAATACTGCTAGTGTAATGTTTCAAGAAGGAGGACATTGCTTGTTGCAGTGTTAAAAGTATCAGCTCTTACTGGATGAGTGGGCGGTCTGAGTTCATCTGTACAGCATCTAGATGAGTCTGAGCCAGTCGCAGGCCAGGGAAGGCCAGGAGAGACCCAATGTAAGCACAGATGGCAGCCAGACCGAGCTTCACTGTCAGCTTGGTCACTGGGATTCTGAAGAAAGTTGTAACAGCAATCAAAAGGTTATTCTGTGTGTAGCACAGATATTTGTCAAGTCTGTTACTGCCACATTCAACACAACTTCTTCCTTTAAGAAAACAAAACAGTATCTATTCATTCTATTCATCTTCTTTAGGGACGGATACTTACGACCAGTCAGCATAGCCCTGCTGTCTGGCAAAGATTTCCAGGTTGTCAAAGAGGCTGGAAAAGGCAGACTCCAAACCGAACTCCAGGTAGTCCTCTCTGACCACCAGCACCAGCATGGCCACGAGCAGAGACAGGAAGCCAAAGGCAAGACACACTGAGCGCTCACCGCCCTCCTCGGAGCGGAAGTAGTGGCTCATCAGTGTCTGAAGGGTCTTTCTGCGGGTTGCAGGTTAAATGCAAACAACCAAGAGGAAAATGTAGCATTCATCCAGTCCAAGACTATACATATATCTTTGGGAGGCTACTTGATCTTTATTTAATCAACTAGTATTAAAATATCAAAAGTCTTTTATATAACATTTACTACTAGCATACATCACAATGATAACATGTTACAGTTTTACAACTGTGACTAGAGGCTTCATCATGTTTGTTAATTCATCATGCAAAAAGTTAAAGACTGTAGAAGTCTTACAGACTTATCTGTTATGACCTAAAGTTTGACTTTAAAGTTGAAAGATACAGACTGAACAGTACAGTCAGGACACACCAGATGGCTCCAATGTTGACCTCTTTTCTGGCATCTACAACATTGTAGTAACACTCAGTGAACAGGAAGACACCCGTTGTATATACTGCAAAATCTACCAGCCACTGGTATTCCAGGAAGAACCGCAGCACTGAAATAAGAAACAAGAAAAAACAACAAGCCATTAGTTAGCTGAGATTGAGAGACGGTAAAAAAAAAACCATGTAAATGTATGGTGATTCAACAGCTGAGCTTGAGCAGTGTTTGTAGTGCACAATGTCATTGTGGTGTAGATAAAGGACTGTTTGCTTTACCAAGAGCGTCAATGGCGTTTACTGGAGCTTTCTCCAGGTGAAGGTCGATGTCTTTGGGCACAGTGAGAGGCTTGCTCTCCCCATTCTGTCTCCTGGAAATCAAACAAAGAAGGCTCAAGACCACGTTAAGAAAAACAAACAAATATATCTTCTGTTATTGAGTTTTACGAGAAGAAAAACAGAGAGACAAAGACCAGCTTATCTGGAGTAGCCACTTGTTTTGCTCATAAGCACTGGCAACAAACGGTAAAACTCTCAGAGTGCAAAGATCTCTGGATTAGATTTGTTTCCAGGCAGTTTCTTCCTCTGGGCAGCATTACTTTAATGTGACTCTTTTCTACAGACCCTCCCCCAACTCCCACCTGTCTCTCCTGCTCTGTTTGGGCATCTGTTTCCCGGCCAGTGCACACAGCTCTCCTTCTGACGGGTGTTTGAACCGGAACAAACTGGAAGGAAAGACAGGCACGTGTATTGTAAACAGCCCACAGCACATTATGGCAATAATGTACGAGCTGAATGTAAGGGTGAGAATACCTGCCGTTACAGAGGAGCCAGCGTGCAAATGAGCAATGTGGAGCCATCCTCTGCATAATGCTGGCAGCCAGCAAGCTGACCACCAGCTGAATCCCCATCAGCGCCTGGCAGAGAAAACACACACACACACACACGTTTAAGTATGAGATCCAACTCTGAAACTCCCATCTTGTATTATGTGTCAGCAGGCAATGCATCAGAGATGGCCAGAGAGCAGGAAGGCCTTGTCTACAACTGTGACAGTCAGTCAAGACAGTAGCTCATGTTGACTCGGCCTGTAAGACCCAACAAAGTGTGAAGAACAAAGGTAAGTTAGTTCACATATCACAGGCTGCGGTAGAAGCTGAACCGCACACCATGCTAGGAAGCTAACAGGAGCAAGGGATGAACTAAGTTGAGCAACGTTAAACATCGGGTGCGCTGAAAGCCCCTGACAACACAATGAATGGAAGGTAGCAAATGGCTATCGTGCTAAATTTAGCTAAACTTCACCACCTGTCAGTGCAAGCGGTAGCTAGCTAGCTAGCGTTAGCCGCACTAGCTCTCACAGTCACCAATACAAACAAAATGAGCCCGCAAGCGAATTTTACAGCACTTTGATAAGACTGGTAACTACATGTGCAGTATGAATGTGCTGGGGTGTGAATTAAATTACCATCGCTTCTCTCTAACGATGTAATTAAACAGAGGAGCTCCTTCACGTGCAGGAAAGTCTTGACAGCTGAACCAACTGACGTGTGAAACTGCTGAATGTCCCGGATGTACTTGTGTCGCGCTGCCTTCAGGTGCTCCTCGAAAGCTTTGTAAATTCAAAGCCTGTTTTTTAAACAGCCAAACGACTGATGCCACTGCTTGGGAATGTCATGATTTGAACGTAGACTGGGGAGGGCTACCAAACAAAATGATTTTAAAACAAATTAATGATTTTAGATATGGAGGTTTTATTGTATATAAGAATCTAACTGTAAATGAATGCACAGAGGTAAGGAAGATTTTAAAGTGTAAAAACATGTCAGAGAGTATCAGAGATTTTAGGTGGCTGGTATCTGTGGGGAGACTTCCTGTCAGGGCAGTCTTGTGTCTTGGAGTTGCTATGTAACGACAAAGAAATGTCCAATGACTGGTTGCAACGATGATGAGACACAACAGCACCTTTTAATGGATTGTTTTAGAGCATACATTTATTCGACTGTATTTATATATTTATTATATCTTTTTTAAACTAATTTAAGCTGATTTCACAATGAAAACAGAAGGTACTATAAAATGTTTAACCATGGAGTAGCCTGTGACACATGTAGTACACCTTGACCTCCTACTGCTGTCAGGTGAACCTGTAATAATAGACTTACCAATGGTACTAATTAGGTTTATGTTACATTTAGTATAGCAGAACTTTTCCAGTGAGCCAACATGCACAAAAGCAGCATCCTGACTCTGTTTGTTCAGAATGGAACGTAACGTAACACTTGTGTTTACCCTACTATTTCATGTCAAAATACCTGCTATGAAAAAGGTCAAT